AGCACATTTATTGATTTTCGGATATTGTACTACCTTGCATCCCTGGAATAAATCTCACTTGGTCATGGTGTATGATCTTTCTAATGTATTGCTGAATCTGATTTGCTAGAACTTTGTTGAGAATTTTAACATCTATGTTCATCTAGGATATTGGCCTGTAGTTGTATTTTTTTTTGGGGGGGGGGGAGGAGGGTTCATCTGGTTTTGGGATTAGGATAATTCTGGCTTCATAGAAAAAGTTTGAAAGTGTGCCTTTCTCTTGAATTTTTTGGAATAGTTTGAGGAGGATAGATTTTAGTTATTCTTTGAATGCTTTGTAGAACTCCCCTATAAAGCCGTCTGGACCAAGGCTTTTGTTTGCTGGAAGATTTTTGATCGCTGTTTCAATTTCTTCAGTAGTTATTGGCCTATTCAGGTTTTTTGATTCTTTTTGGTTGAGTTTTGGGAGCTTGCATTTTTCTAGGAATATGTCAATTCCATCGAGCTTGTTCATTTTGTTGGAATAGAGTTGTTCATAATATTTTTTTCATAATCTTTTATATTTTTGTGGGATCAATTGTTACTTCAACTCTTTCACTTCTGATTTTGTTTATTTGGATCCTCTATCTTTGCTTCTTGGTGGGCCTGGCAAGAAGTTCATCAATCTTGTTTATCCTTTCAAAAACCAGCTCTTGGTTTTGTTGATCTTTTGTTTGTTTATTTATTTATTTGTTTGTTTGTTTATTTTTGGTCTCTGTCATTTATATTTGCTCTGATATTCATTATTTCCTTCCTTCTGCTCACTGTGGGCTTTTCTTATTGCTCTTTCTAACTCTCAGATAATTTATTATCATTGGTTCTAATTTTTAAAGTAGGCCTGTAGAGCAATGGACTTCCCTCTCAAGACTGCTTTCACTATGTCCCATAGATTTTTGGATTGTTGTGTTTTCATTGTCATGATGTTTTTTATTTCTTCATTGATCTCTCTGGTAACCCAGTCATTGTTTAATAGTATGCTATTTAGCCTCCAGGTGTTTTATTTTATTTATTGTTTTTATTGTAGTTGATTTCCAGTTTTATGCCATTGTGATTTGAGAAGATGCTTGATATGATTTCTATCTTCTTGAATTTGAAGAGACTTTGCCTGTGTCCCAACATATGATCTATCTTTGAAAATGACCCATGTGCACTTGAGAAGAATGTGTATTCTTTTGCTTTGGGGTGAAATGTTCTGAAGATGTCAATTAATTCCATCTGATCTAGTGTGTCATTTAAGATTGAAATTTTCTTGCTGATTTTTTGTTTATAGAATTTTTTCATGATGTTAGTGGGGCATTAAAGTACCCTACTATCACTGTATTGCTGTCAACCTCTCCCTTGATATTCTCTAGAATTTTTTTTCTTAATGTATTTGGGTGCATATATGTTTACTAGATTTATTTCTTGTTGGATTGCTCCCTTTAGTATTAGGTAGTGGCCTTCCTTATCTCTTGTTATGTACTTAACTTTGAGATCTAATTTGTCAGATACAAGTATTGCTACCCCAGATTTTTTTTCATTTCTATTCACCTGAAATACCTTTTTCCATCCCTTCACCATCAGTCTGTGTGAATCCTTTTTTCTCAGGTGGGTTTCCTGTAGATAGCAGATATATGGATCATGTTTTCTTAGTCACTCAGCTGCCCTATGTCTTTTGATTGGTGCATTTAATTCATTTACTTTTAAAGTTATCGATAGGTACTTGTTTGTCACCATTTTTATTTTTTTATGTGTTCCTTCTTCACTTCCTTTTTCTTCTCTTTTACAGTAGACCCTTTAGCATTTCTTGCATTGGTGGTTTGGTGGTGATAAACTTCCTTCTTCCTTTTTTGTCTATTAGTCTCCTGATTTCACCCTCAATTTTAATTGATAGCCTTGCTGGGAACAGTATTCTTAGATTCAGACCCTTCCTTTGCATAATTTTGTATATTTCATTCTCTTCTGGCCTGATGTGTTTCTGTTGAGAAATCAGTCACTATCTGATGGGGGATCCTTTATGGGTAACTTTCTCTCTCCCCCAGGCGCTTTTAAGATTCTTACTTTGTCACTGGTGTTTGCCAACTTAATTATAATGTGCCTTGGCATTGGTCTTTTGAAGTTCATTTTGTTTGGGACTCTGTGAGCTTCCTGGATTTGTGTGAGGTTTTTTCCCCCTTATATCAGGGAAGTTTTCTGACAGTATTTCTTCAAATAGGTTTTCTATTCCTTGCTCAGTTTCCTCTTCTTCTGGAACCCCTATTATGTGTATGCTGTTTTGTTTCGTCTTGTCCCAAAGTTTCCTTAGGTTCTCCTCTTGTTTTTTAAGATTTTTTTAAAATTTTATTTATTTTATTTTATTTTATTTTATTTTATTTTATTTTATTTTATTTTATTTTATTTCCTAGATGCTGCTCTGGTTGGGTATTTTTTTCCTACCTTGTCTTCTAGCTCACTGATGTGGTCCTCCGTTTCTTCTAGCCTACTATTTGTTTATGCTTTCTATTGAGTTTTTTATTGCAGTGATATCATTTTTCATTTCTTCTTGGTTCTTCATTTCCTCTTGGTTTTTATACATATTGTTGAATTTGTCTTCCAACCTTTTCAGTGACCTTATGACCATTTCTTTGAATTCTTTCTCTGACATATTGCTTGCCTTCATTTTGTTTACTTCCTTTTCTGGTGATGCCCTTTTTTCTTTCATGTGCAGGCTTTTTCTTTGTCTCCCCATGATCTCTCTTCTCTGGGTGTCTGCTTATGTAGTTCTCTCTTTTCTGCATTGACTTAAAGGCACAAAATACAACACAACAATGCACAACACACAAGGCACTAAGCAAAATGTATACTAATAATCCCCAGTAAAGGTGACCACCAGAGAAAAAAGAATTAAGGGATTAAAAAAAAAAGTGCATGCTCTAGCTGGTTGGACTCAGTGAATAGAGGATCAGCCTGCAGACTAAAGGGTCCTGAGTTTGATTCTGGTCAAGGGTACATGCCTAGGTTACAGGATCAATCCCCAGTAGAGGGCATGCAGGAGGCAACCAATGATTGCATGAAGTTGGCAGAGAAGGAGAATTGATTAAAAGAAGCAAAGGGACCTTTTGGGGTGATGGAAATGTTCTTTGACTGTGGTGATACACTTTTGGCATATACATGTGGCAAACACAAATTATATTTCAATAAAGTTGATTTTACAGACAGAATTAGCCAGACTGGCAAGGGGACACCCTTCTCTGATATCATATACATTGATGTTTCATTCAATCTATGTTAAATGAAGTTTAGATTGCCAAGCAGAATCCAAGCTTCATTCATTCATTCATTCATTCACTCAGTCATTGGGTCACTATGAGGTGTCTACAATGTGCCAAACCATGATCCAGGTAGATTTGATCCCAGCTTATTTGAGGCAGTAACACCAACTCTTCTCCCTCTCCCTCTCCTTCTTTCCATAAGTGTCTAATTCTAGAGATGACATGGCAAGAGAGGCTGGGCTGGTATCATCACTTGGCATATTCTTGGCTTTTGGTCTTATACCAGTCAACCTCTTATTTTCTCAAATACAGCTGCCTGGATGTCTGAGTGGAGCTTGGTTTCCACATTTAACATAAAAATTCTAGAGCCACTATGTCCATTTGCACAAGTGCAAGCCCAGAAAAAGTTTAAACTCCAAGTAGTTTTTTGTTTGGAAATGCTTCCCAAGACAATTTTGAAAGGGCATTTAAAAATAGACTTAAATTGTGTGAGGTCTTCAATGCAAATGAATGGGACATTATTCTTATCAGTTTTAGCTGGATTTGGCAAATGGATAAGTTCCAAATTGATAGTATTCTTGTCAGCTGTTTTAGGTTTTATTCCAGCTAGCCATGCCTCTGTCTAATAAAGGCAGTAATAAAAAATACAGTCTTACAGCCAACAATATAGTGATCTTGCTTTTGTAGTTAAAGAATTCATTTATTAATGCTTTCTGTAATGTTAAAATTGCTTCTCAGACTCCAGAATTCATGAAAAGAGAAATGCTTGATTATAAATCAATTTTGTCAAATGTGCTGTATTTGAAATTCCTTATAATGGGAATGTATATTATTGCTGAGGATGTTATGGTGTACCCTTTTGATATGAAAGAGGTGAACCCCTGTTTAAGGGCATAACTCATACCACACAAATGGCACACTTTCCTCAAGAGTACTGAGATGCACCATGTGAGAAAAGCTATTGGCCATGTATGAGAAGTGAAAATTGTTCACACTGGGGAGGCAGTCCAGCCCATACCACAGCCAGCTGAATGCACTCATGAACCAGCTGCTTTAATTAATCTGAAGACAGATATCACAGTTTCTTCAAACAGACTTTTAGAGGGGCAAAAAGAATAATCTGAAAAGTAAAGGAATTCATAAAAAGAAATAGATCACATTGACAGTAGACAGTGTTCTGCTGAATAAGAAAACTACAAGCGGTGGTTGTTGGAGGTGAAAAGTGTGATGAGGACCACACTCAGCACCACCACTGCTCTTTGGTTCAGACACTGGCTGAGACAGGACAGCGTGTGTGCAGGACAGGAAATTCTGTCATCTTTTAGCCACACTCACCCACACAAATAGCCTTTCCTGTCACAGCAGCCACCCAGGGGGATGGCAAATCAGTCACTTGCACAAAATGACACATGCACTGACACAGGGAGTGAACCCACACATTTTTGTTTACACTTTAGAAAGCAACAGGGCTGCCCACAAAGAATGATTAGGAAACATTGCACTGTTAAAAAGGTATAGTTGAGCCAGAACCGGTTTGGCTCAGTGGTAGAGCGTCGGACTGCGGACTGAAAGGTCCCGGGTTGATTCCGGTCAAGGGCATGTGCCTTGGTTGCGGGTGCATCCCCAGTGGGGGGTGTGCAAGAGGCAGCTGGTCGATGTTTCTCTCTCATTGACGTTTCTAGCTCTCTATCTCTCTCCCTTCCTCTCTGTGAAAAATCAATAAAATATATATATATTTTAAAAAAGGTATAGTTTATTCATTCACCTGTAAAAATAACTTCCTAGCAGCAGCAGTTACTTTTAACCTCCCACTTTAGAACTTCAAGTATTTAAAGGCACTCAAGTTTTTCCCTGCTTTTATTTCGTTTTTTACCTTCTCATAGTAATGAACTGATTTATGAAGTCAAAGCATTTATTTTAAAAGGAATTTCAAATCTTTACTGACGGGAAAAGGGACAAATAATCATTATTTCTGTCAGTATTCCTGTAATAGTAATACATTTCTTATATTTTTTTAGAAAAAAAGAAAGGGGATAAATAGACATATCCATACAATTCAAAGCAAAAAATAACAACAACAACAAATAAAAAAATAAAGCAACCGCACAAAGGAGTGCCTGCCACATTACTGTTTCCATTTCCTCAGTTGTTAAGTGATCTCAAGTGTGGCTGCATTCCGCCTGCTTTCTTCCCAGCCACCTCGGTGCCATCACCCACAGACTCTGGGGGAACAGTTCGTTGTTACTTGTCATGAAGCCTGCACTTGGATATCCTGGGCTTCACATGCAATTTCAGAATCTCAAATGACACTACATAGGCTTGCTCCAGTCTCCTTTTAGTGCAGTTTGGCAAATATCTGAAATGAACTTCAACTCTGAGTTAAAAGTATCAGACAGATACTTAAGCACCGTTGAGGTCTTCTGTGCTGCCCAGAGGCTCCGGAGAGCTCAGGACAGAAAACCCAATGGCCTCAAACTGAAGTGACTGCAGACACCTGCCTCTGTCATCGCAGAGCAGTCCGCCTCAGAGACAGAAACCCCTGAGAAGGTCTCCTTGCTCAGGGCTCTTGGGTACCATGAATATCTGTAAAGGGCACTGGCCACTTTGCCCCATCCCCCGTAGACAGCATAGTCACCCTCCCCACTCCACCTCCAGCGCTAAGGACAGCAAGCACCGACACCGAACCTGACCTCTCGGTGGTCTTCTCCCCCACTCCAGTGCTCTCTGTCACCCTGGCTCTCTAGCTGCTCGCTTGAAGTGCACTTTGGTTTTGATGCTAGAAAGGTGGTCATTATAAAGCTACCTGGGGAGGCCACCACTACATGGCCAAGTCACTGGGTCTGGCCTGAGTGTTGCTGGCCTTACTGGCCTTGCTTGACCGTCTGGGTCTGTGGGGAGCACAGGCGGCATGTGCACCTCCACAGCGGGGTCACTGCCCGCTGCCGCTCAACAGGAGTCACTGCCAATCTGCTCTCTCCCCGGATGCTGCTGTCCCCATTCTCCACACGACAGATTCTTTGCTGCCTTCTCTGCCCTCCTGAGGGGATTGCAGGGGGCTGCCTGGAGGGGTTAAGGAGGAGGATGTGGACACAGGCGGGGAGACCTTCCTCACAGAATCTGCTGCCCAGGCTCCTGGTTGGCCCAACTCTGCCTGTCGTTGCCAGTGGTGATTACTATTGTAGAATTTGTCAGGGTGGCCCTTCCCTTGTGCCTGGGAAAGAGCTGCCATGTTGAAGGCTGATGCTGCTGGAGGGGCCCTGGAATGATGATGGTTGCCCATCCCAGGGAAGAGACAGAGTGCGTGTAGTAGAAGGGCGCCCCATAGTACTAGTGTCTGTGGCCTAGTGGGAGGGGAGTGGGGGCACATCCCCAGATATGATGGCCCCCACCCTGGATGCAGCAGTGTCTGGGCCATCATGGTTGGTCATGCCCTGTTTAAGCTTCTTCCAGCCCAGGTGGTATATCTCCAGCACGTTGAGTAAGAGGGACAGGCAGGCGATGGCCAGCATGAAGATGATGAAGATGGTCTTCTCTGTGGGCCTGGAGATGAAGCAGTCCACCACGTTAGGGCAGGGCCACCGGTCACAGTGGTAGAGTGGCTTTAGCTCAAAGCCATACAGATAGTACTGTCCAGCGATAAAGCCCACTTCAAACAGCGTCTTAAAGATGATGTTGAATATGTAGGTCCGGAGCAGGGCCCCAGCGATTTGGACCTTTCCCCAGTCATCCCGCAGAATGAGTTTGTCCTTCTGGCTGTGGTTGCTGGACCCACACTGCCCATCGGGTCTAAGATATAGGTTGTCCCCTTTCAACTTCTCTTCCTCCCTGCCTCTCTTCTTCTCTTCCATGCGCATGATGTGCAGCACGTGCCCCAGGTAGATGAGGGTGGGCGTGGACACGAAGATGATCTGCAGCACCCAGAAGCGGGTGTGGGAGATGGGGAAGGCTTTGTCGTAGCACACGTTCTCACAGCCCGGCTGCTGGGTGTTGCAGGTGAAGTCTGACTGCTCATCTCCCCACACCTCCTCCACCCCAGCCCCCAGCACCAGGATTCGGAAGATGAACAGAACCGTCAGCCAGACCTTTCCTATAACCGTGGAGTGCTCCTGTGCTGTATCCAACAGTCTCCCCAGAAGGCTCCAGTCACCCATGGCTTCAGACTGCCAGCCTGTAAGGGAACATGCGTGTTAATAATCGGGGAAGACAGGTGAGCTGTAGTTCAGCTGCTAAAGGGACAGATGCCATTGTCCCTGGGGGATGGAATATCTGTCATTGGATGGCTGTTCTATCACTTCCCAATGTGGGATGTGCTGCAGAGCTCTCCACAGCCCTGTATGTTCATGTGTGTGAATAAGTTTGTGTGCACATGTGCACGCACATGGACCTATGTGCAGCTGTATACACACACATGTGCACATTTATATGTGTGTTCATACTTGTCCATACATATACATGTCAGTGAAAACGTGTGCATACATTTGAGTGGTTACATGTCAGTGTGTGTGCACACCTTCCTCTGTGTGAGTGCAGGTACTGCACCTGTATACATTTAACAGTGCATGTGTCTTGCATGTTATGAGTACAAAGTTCACGTGAACATGCATGCACAATGCTCTCATAAGTGTGTGTTCATGAGCACATTGTAATCTGTGTGCACATGTCTCTGTGTGTACATTTTTTAGGTATGTAGCTTGGAGGGCTCAAAAGGATGAGCCACATCTGTAGTTTATCTGTTGGAAATGGCTAAAGGGCACTTCCCCCAAACCTGAATGGGATTGTTAGCCAGACAGCTCAGGGCATTTTATTGCCTCCTGTTGGCCAAACACCTGAACAGCTATAGGCTATTCCCAAACTGATAGTGCTAATCTATTCTACCATTTGGTACATTACCCTTTGAAGTGTATATATATTTCCACCTTGCCTTGGGACAAATTGTGTTTAATATAAACACAGGTCCTTGGTCAAGGAGAGAGTCTTTAGCTCCTTCAGCTGAAGATCCTCTGACCCCCAAAGCCTTTCAAAATTACGGTATCTTTCATTTCCAGACTCTTTAATCATCTATGAACAGCCCTGTTCTCCAAAACGTTGAACTCTTTGTAAGACTGGGAAAAGGACCCTGCCAGCCTACAGCATGAATATAGTATTGTAGTCACCCTACAAAAGCATGGGTTAAATGATACAAACACAGGTTACTTAAGTCACTTCAGAGATGAGGAAATTGAGCAAGAAAGACAAATGACTTTCCGAAAGGACACGGACCTCTCCCAGCTCCTAACTCCACCCTGGGCTCTTCCGGACTCTGCCTCTCAGGCTTCCTGTGCAGCTGGCCAATTCCTAGTCTCACCTGTCCTGCTCTCGTGAGGTTAGAGCAATGTTCTCCCAAATTGCTCCATGCTCATTCCACTTTCATAACTTCTGCTGTATTAATCTGTCACCTTCTCCATTTTTTACTTTCCTTTTGAATCTTTCTCTTTGCAAATGCTACATAAATGGTTCAGTCTGGCATGTCCTTGGGCAGGAGCCTGTGTCTCTGACTGTAAGGTGGGGTCCATGGTCACAGGCAGTGAACTGCCTCTCGGGTAGAGGGAAGTAAGACCCGTGGGTCCACTTTGTGAAGGTGACAGTGCTCCCTGGACGCTGGGGACCAAGCCTACAAGGTGCCCTCCATGTGGCCTCTGCTCAAACGGGTCAGATGCTCCAAACTGGAACCAAAGACAGCACCGCTGTTCCCAGGACCAGTCTGTGTAGTAAGGAACATGGGCTAGGCTGTGAGTATACATACAAGAATAAAGAAAACTCTATCATGTTGAATCTTAAAATGCTTAACAACACTAATTTTTAGGAATTGGTTTGAAGGCAAATAAACAAACAAAACTTTACTCCATGTGATCTAAAACAACAACAACAACAGGCAAATGTCAGTCTTCTTTTTGAGTAAACTTCCAATGCTTTGTTTTGGTCACTTGAGCTCCATAGAGAAATCTTAGTCTTCATGTATCCTACCAGCCTCCTTGCCCCATATTATAACTGCCGTCTGTCTTATTCTGCATGTTTTTAGACATTAACAAGTTTCATTGAGAAACTTAATTATTAAACATGAAACAACCCACTCTCCAATGAGGGATGTCAGAAGTCAGGGAATCATTCTAGGTTACATCCTGCTTCTCCTCCAAGCTATCAGTTCTGACTCCTACACAGACCCCACAGCCATCCCACTGAGCTTGGAGGAATGCCATCAGCGCCAGACTGTCACAAGACCCTTAACTCTGCCTTTGGCCCTAGCCCCTCCCTCCATCTTGCTGGACATCTGCCTCTGGGACATAGGACAAGAGCCATGGCCAGTGTGCACAACCCAGGAGAACCTGGTCCAGCACTTTGGGCACCAAACTTCCTGTGGGCCCTGAAACACGACCTTTATGCATTAGCACATGCTGTGTCTTCAACTTAAACATGGTCTCAATCTTGAGATCTATTTGTGGAGATGGGAAAATTCAGGAGAATAGGGAGCTCTATAAGGGCAGAGAAGTGTACTAATACTAATACACTTCTTCTCTGGGGAGGAGTGGAATTGGAACTGGGTTAGGAGACATGGCTTTGGATAGAAGGGAGAGTGAAGGGAGCACCTTTTAAGAAGAGAGCGAGGTTCCTGTGTGGTGGGAATACGTGTGATCGTGTGACTGACACAGGGCATTGAATTAAAAAGCAGTGAATTTAATGGCTGCTTGTCACATGGAGCTGGGCTGAGGCTATGTTTGCACACAGTAGGCATTCAGTAAGCACTGGTGGTGCACACGAACCGAAGAACTAGAGAACCATTAACCCACTGAGAGAGGAGAGAGATGCTGAAGTGTTGTTCAAGAAAGAAGGTGCCTGTCTATAGCCAGCTGGAACTCAGGAGAGGTGTGGTGACCTTGGAGAGAGTGTTGAAGGCCAGGCTGGATGTCAGGAGGGGCAAATGGAAAAGAGGAAGGACAGAGAAGAGAGACTTTCTGAAGACAAAAATGAAGCAGTGTGTAGTTTCTGAGCAGAGCCAGAGATGAGAGAGGAAGGAATGAGAGAAGAGTCTTACATGCCTGAGCCTGGTGAGTGGAAAAGCTGTGGGGGGATTCAAAGAGAAGGACATTGGGGAGGAGTGTGAATTTGAGATTGGAAGGGGACGTGAGAACTTTGGTTTGGTGACTGTGTGGGTTAAAAGCAGTGGTGGGAGATTGGAGTGAGAGTGTCCAGCAGGAAGCTGGAGACCTGGGTTAGAAGCAGCTGGGAAGAGGGTCTACACTGGTAGCTCCTCCCCTTCTGGGCGAGGGCCACAGTGCTAAGAATGGAGTTTAGAGACAGACGTCATGGGCAATGCAGCACAAGAGGTGAAGAAGATACAGAACAGACTCACTGCCTTTGGTGCCTGTAAAGGTGGCCAATGTGTGGTGGTGCCTCGTGAAGGGCACATGATCTGACAAGGTGGGTGAGGGCCTAAGACAGAGCAGAGCTGGAGACCAGAGACCCTGCCAGAGAGTCCATAGTCTTTAAGTTTTATTAGGTTCTTGGACTTTGTGTCCTGAAAATTTGTTTTATCCTTTCATATTTTAGTTTCATTATTGTTTCACCTAATCATCTGGCAATGTTCTTTTAGAAAAGTCTAACCGTGGGAGGAAAATGGTCAGGCAGATCCTGCATATTTGTAAAGATCAGACACCACAGAGCCAGCAGATGCAAGGAAACAGGGAAGGGCTTGGAGGAAGGTTACCCAGGACCATGAGAGTTTGACTCCCCTGCAGATGCCATTCAGATCTCAGAAGGCTTAGGTCCTTGAGAGCAGTCATCAAGAATAAGAACTGGCTGAGAATGGTTTGGCTCAGTGGATAGAACGTCGACTTGGGGACTGAAAGGTCCCAGGTTCGATTCCGGTCAAGGGCATGTACCTTGGTTGCATGTAGGGGGTGTGCAAGAGGCAGGTGATCGATGACTCTCTCTCATCGATGTTTCTAACTATCACGCTCCCTTCATCTCTGTACAAAATCAATAATAATATATATATATATATATAAAAGAATAAGAACTGGAATGGCCCAGAATTGAGGAGGCTGATTATATATATTCATGTTATGCATAATGCATGTACACAAATAATAGGTTGGTAAAGACCCGGGCTGAAGCAGGATCTGGGAGCAGGGAATAAAAGGGGAAACATCTGTAATACTCCCAACAGTAAGAAAAAAAATGTTTTTTTAAAGAAAAAGAAATAATAAGAATTTGAAGTAGGAGAGGAAGATACAAACTTTACCTTAGCAGCAGATGATATGATGTGTGTCTTCCATAGAAATCCAAAGGACTGTCATAACCATGAGAACTAGAAAACACTTCCTAGCAGTTTGCTGGATATAAAACTAATATATAAAGGTAAGTTCCTTAGTATCAATGATAACCAATCAGGAACTATAATACAAAATCATTTAGAACAAAAATTTTAAAAAGTTAAAGTATCTAAGAATAAATCTAACAAAAGATGTGTGAGACCTTCAGGGAAATCACCTAAAGCACTATTTAGTTATTTTTCCTGGAGATTTCTGCTGTTCTTGTTTGTGACATGTTTCTTTGTCTCTGCATTTTGGCTTCTTCCATGTGTTAGTTTCTATGTATTAGATAGAGCTGCTATGTCTCTTGGAATTGGTATAGTGGCCTTGTATAGTAGTGTCCTGTAGGGCCTAGTCACCTAAGCGGGGCACTCTAGGTGTACCCTTGTGTGGGCTATGTGCACTGTCCTGGTGTAGCTGAGCCTTGCTTGTGGTTGGCATCACTGAAAGGGATTTACCCCTGGCCAATTTTCTGTGCAGACCAGCTACAACTATAGTGGAAGAGCTGCTATGCAGCAGATGCCCTTATGGATTAGGGCTTGTTTCAGTGGGGCTTTGGTGCTCTCCAAGTCTGCCCCTTGAGTGTTGCTTGTGCATGTGGCAAGGTTATAATCTGGCATAGTTTGAAGCTGACCACTGGGTGCACTGGCTCTGGGGCCTCCAGGGAGATACAAAGTCAGCTACTGCTTGTGACTTTCCTGGAACCACTCTGCACGAGCTACAGAGTGATCTGCAGATGCTGCTGCTTGTTTTGGGCTTGGAGGTGCCCAGGAGAGGCCAAGCTGTGAACCAAGACAGGCTGCTGCTAGTGCTTTTTCTG